AGGCCTCCAGTGATTTAGATATGAAAAATTTCACTATTGAAAGAATAGCTGCATTAGATTATCAAGAAACAAGAAAATGGACAGATACTTGCATTTCAATTCAATTATAAATAAGCATAAAAAAGTCAAATGGAATGCACGTTTTAATAAAATAGTTCTTGTGTTAGTGCCGCCCGCAATTATTTGTGAATACCAGTGCCGCCCCCAGGGGGGGGGGCATCTATGTAGACACAATTCACAACCTATATGTAGGCGCCCGCAAACATATTCTCTAAGTGCGCCACTGGTAAATACAAATAAGGATGTTTGAATATTATAGGGACAAACTTAAACACGTGATCCCTTAAGTTCCAATGTTTTTTTGAGCATTTTTTACTCGAAATAATTGCCTGATTTAAATACTAGTTAAAATTTGCTGCTGTGGTAGAGGTACTCAATATTGAAAAAACAAAATTTTGATACTGACATAATACTCTTCCTTTCTTTAAACGTTTACTTACTTCAAGTGGCATGAAATACGATTTTCTTCAAAATTTTCTTTGTAAAATATCCCTCCAGTAAAAATCTACCAAATAAATGCAAGACCAAGACCAAGACCAAGACTGGACCCTGCAAGACCAAGACCAAGACCAAGACCATTTATCAGACTGCAAGACCAAGACCAAGACCGCATATGCAAGACCAAGACCAAGACTAGCCCGGTCTTGGTCTTGGTCTTGCATTTGCTCATCACTAGTTTTCGAAAAAAAAAAATATTTCCTGTCATCTTGATTTCGTGTTTGAAAACACCTTCTCGAATTTTCACTGATAAAAATTTTCTACCGATGAAAAATTTTTCCCTGGTGGATATTATGGAAGCCTACCATCATACCTTCATTTTGAAAAAAAAATTAGAGTGACACATTTTTTAGTTTTCGAAAAAAAAAATTTTTTCTGTCATGTCAATTTTGTATTGGAAAACACATTCTTCATTTTTTCTCTATAACAAATTTCCTATCGATGAAAAGTTTTTTTTTCTGTAGAAATTATAAAAATCTGCTTTTATTATACCTATGTATTTATCATTGCCGACGTCCAAAACGTTAGAATTTATACCATTATTGACCTGAACTTGGTAGGTGGTAGACGCTTTTTACTCATTGGGCGTCGACCGGTGAGATACCACCATGCCAGGATTGAGTAGCGCTAAGTGGTATCACCACGTTCCGCTACTGCGCTGGCAGTCCGGTTCCAACAATGAGTAACAGATAGCATGATGGCGCCTCCAGGATCAAAATATTCCGGAGGTAAAATATCCGACCACTCGGATCTCCGGGCGTCGGGTGATCCTGGGGGTCCTTCATGCAAAGATATAAAGAGAAGATCAAAAACTCAACTCAGAATTGATTTTAGCAATATAAGAGGAATAAGTACAAATATAAATTCAGTTCACCAACATCTTGAAGAACAAAGACCTGACATCCTTGTTCTCACTGAAACTAAAATCAGTTCTGCAACACCTATTGTGAACTATCTTTATCCCGGCTATGACCTACACCACCGATTTCGACATAATTTTGGGATCTGTGTGTACATTAAAAATGACCTTTCATGTCATCGAGACGAGAAGCTAGAACCAGCGAACCTTGATATCATATAGCTAAAATTCACCTCAAAGTCATCGACCAAGTTTATCTGCTGCCTCTACCGACCGCCAAGAAACACCGATTACCAAAACTTTTTCGCGACATTATCCGAAAGCTGTGATAGTATACAGTCAAACTATCCACAGGCGGAAATTGTCTTTTTAGGCGAGTTCAACGTCCACAATATACCCTGGCTGAAACACCACAACAAAACAGATAACGAAGGCAGAGAAGCAGAAGCTTTTGCCATAAGTTGTGGTCTAACGCAGCTTGTCGATGTCATATTATAATAACAAAGTGCGAAATGCTCATCCCACCAAGCCTACAACCACTTCCTCGTAAAATGTGGCACTATAAATCGGCAAAATGGAATGACCTAAAACAGTATTACCTGGATTTTCCATGGCAAGAGGTTTGCTTTAAAACAGCTGATCCCACTATTTGCTGTAATGAAATAACACAAGTAATCTTATCTGGAATGGACGCATATATCCCACATACAACTAAACGTAGAGCTAATGCAAAACCTTGGTTCAACAGCCAGTGTCAAACGGCTGTACAGAAAAAACACGGAGCATATAACCTTTGGAAACGACAACAAACCGCTCAAAACCACACAGAATTTATAGAAGCCAGAAATAGTTGCAAAATTACTATTGACTCCGCTAAAGAAACATACAATCAGAGAATAAAAAACAGGTTGCTGAATTTTCCAAGTAGTTCTAGGTCTTTTTGGTCTCTTGCAAAAGCTGTTGGATCTAACTTCACCAAGTCATCCATACCACCACTTACAGATAAAAATAATCACTTAGCCACAACATCAGAGGAAAAAGCCAATATGCTTGCCCAAATGTTTTCCTCCAACTCCAACCTAACAGTGCCAAACGGAAAAACTCCACCGTTCATTGAAAGGGTTTCCCATAGTATGCCAGAGGTACCCTTTTGTCACAGAGAAATACGAAAATCCCTAAAAAAGCTGGATACAAACAAAGCAATGGGTCCGGATGGCATTCCCGCAATAGTACTCAAAAATTGCGCCAACGAACTCACCCCAACTTTCGCAAAATTATTCAATTTGTCTTACAGGCAAGGAGTATATCCATCATCATGGAAGTCTGCCGCAGTACAACCCATTCCAAAGAAAGGAAAAAAGACAGATCCGTTAAACTATAGACCAATTGCTCTACTTCCGGTGATATCAAAAGTAATGGAAAGAGTTGTGAACAATCACCTAACCAAGTACTTGGAAAAGTACAAAATTATCAACGATAAGCAATACGGATTTCGAAAATATAGGTCAACTGGCGATTTACTTACATACGTCACTCACTTATGGGCAAAAAGCGATTGAGTTGCGTGGTGAAACAAGAACAATTGCCTTAGATATATCTAAAGCATTCGACAAAGTTTGGCATGAAAATCTGCTCAACAAGCTCAAAGCAATGGGATTATCGCCGAAACTTTGCACTTGATTTGAAAGTTACCTAAAGGACAGATCCATTTAATATTTATGTTGCACTGGATGGCCAGAACTCCAACTCTTACCAAATAAATGCTGGTGTGCCACAAGGAGCAATCCTTTCGCCAACTCTTTTCCTGATTTACATAAATGACCTCATAGATAAAACAGTAAATCCACTTTATTGCTTTGCAGACGATGGCAATGTAGTCTCCTCACTCATACCACCCACAGGTCTTTCCGCACGTGAATTCCATCATCTTAGACTAACTCAAATATCGCAGATAAATAACGACCTGGAGATAATAGAGGACTGGGGTAACAAAAACCTTGTACAGTTCAACGCGCAGAAAACCCAAGCAGCTCTGTTTTCAAAAAAGACCAGCACTGGTGAGCCAAACATCATGCTATCTGGAAGTGCTGTCACATTACAGAGTCAGTTGAACATCTTGGGGGTTACTGCAGAAACCAACATGTCTTGGCACAGTCACGTGGCAGATATTGCTAAAAGGGCCTCCCAAAAGCTGGAGGTGCTATTTCGTACAAGACATCTGTACACACCAAACCAATTGCTGACACTCTACAAAGCCCAGATTCGACCAACTATGGAGTACTGCTCACATATATGGAGTGCAGCACCCAAACATACCTTAATGCTTTTGAATACCGTGCAAAAACGAGCTATCAAGCTGATCAATGACCCCGCACTTACTCGTAACTTGGATGGTCTCGAACATCGCAGATCTGTGGGCGATTTATCTCTCTTCTACAGGTACTATCACGGAAAATGCTCTGAAGAGTTGGCACGTATGATTCCACCGAGAGTAGCACCTACCAGGCGAACCCGTCAAACAGACGGTAACCATGAATTTACTGTCAAACTAGAGGCACCAAGAACCTCATTATATCAGAATTCATATCTCTGGAGAACAGCATCGCTGTGGAATAAACTCCCTGCGACGGTTTTCCCTGCAGGTTACAACCTGAACCGTTTCAAGACCAACATACACCGACATTTCCGCGCACTTGCCGCTTCTCGAGCGTGATAGGACATTTCCTTGCGAGTGCGCATATCCGTAAAAAAAAAAAACTACCGCTGGCGATAATGCGCTTCTCCTGAAAAATCGTTGCTGGAAATCGGGTGCTAACTTCACACGCGTGCTATGAAACACCAGCCGCGGTATTAAATCTTGTGCTTTTCTGCCTAGTAAAACAAATAACTATTTTTTTATTAGAAGTTCTCCAACACTTTTTTGTCAGCCTAGTGAATTGAGCGTTTGATACACAGGCAAAGCAGATGCTTTCTTCATTCAATAGGGCATGTAAACATGCGGATACCCCAAAAGTCATAATGCGGAATGGATTGAGTTTTTTTCTCGAAAAAATGTAGAAGATTGAAACGGATTTTTGTGACATTCGATAGAGCAGAAAATTGTGAGTTTTTGTAATCATATTTTTATAACAAGCCTGGGGATAGTTCCAAGAATTCTTCGATCGTGCAAAAATAGTCTCAATATTCATATTGCACAAATAGTGCCTTTTGATGCATCTTCATAATCTAATGAGATTATCTTCTGGAGATTTGAAAATGAAAAACATTATCAATCCTGCCAACATATACAACTTGTTGCATTTATTATGTTATGATGATTAGCAGACAAAGTATCAAGTATGGTGGTATAATAAGATATAAGATTAGAATGAGTGTAAAAATTAATTTCGTAAACATTTGCCATTTGATACACCCAGCATAATTCAGTTCAGATTATCTTCTATTTACTTAATCGTCTGGAGACTGAAAAATGTGAGAAATTATCAAATATCAGAAAATATTTATTCCAATGATTTTTTTTTTAAATGTTTTATTCCTATCAAACTAAAACTTAATTTAATTTTTGTGCTTGGTAAGTACATACCTGAATATCAATAATCATCCAAAAAAAATCCTCAATGCCAATTCACCTCACCAAAGTGTCATTACCCATAGTATTAAAATGCACATCTAGCTTTAGCTTCCATTCAAATTCATTAATCACTTTTGAATAATTTTTCTCATTAGCACCCAAAAGACAAATGAAACCTAACTGGCGCGGTCATACCTTTATTTAAAAGTATGTACTGTACTCTGTCGTCAGTCGCACATTGAAGGTATTCAATCACTTTGAATAAGATAATGGTTAGCTATAAAGAAAATTCAAAATAAACTATTAAACATTTTTCACAAAAATATTGATGAAATCCAGGTTTATTATTGGTGTCAAAGCCAATCTTACAAATTGACCTAACTCTTTTTCTTCTGTTGAAACCTGGTCAATATGTATTATATTAGAAAAAATATAGGTATGTTTGATTTTTCTGTGAAGAGGGCTATAAATTTATTAAATCTTTTCATCAGTATTACCTTTGAAATACTGCCTTTATGCCCAAAATATAAAATATATTTTTTGTTTCACTAAATTTGAAATTTAATTTAAAAAAATAATAATAATCCCGATTTATCGTCACATCTAGTATACTCGCGACGCTTGTCGTCGTGAAGTCTACGACTCGAAGGACCGGCAAATTATAAGCGCCGCGACGTCAAACGGTCGCCTCGTTTACAATCCAATGCGCGACTGACTAGTGAATCCAGTGAATGAAAAATAAATATAAAGTTGAAACTAAAATCGCCTGAAATTCGGGATAGACGCCGGATGGTGGTGTCGCGTGTTCGGAGACTCTCTTTACATGTCGCAATATGGACTCAATTCCTGGTTGACTCAAAACAACAATGGTTTAATGAAAAACATATCCAAATTGGTGGTAATAAAATATTTGTGTTTCATAGGTCACGCAAAGGATAATGGATACTTGTAAACATGTAGCTGTATTGAGGTCTATTTTCTCAATAACTATTGATTCTTTAGCGAGATTATGTGTAATATTTCCATCGAAAACTATGACGTATTGCCGACTCAATTTTTTCAAGTGTAATTAATGTTTCAATCGAGCGAACTAGGTATGAATGATTTGAATGAATAGGTATTTAATATTCCTTGTTTGATGATGATTAGTAATAGTCCAGGAAAATTGTCGATTTTCAACAAAAAAAATCCTACCCAAAAGAACTTTTCAGGGATGATAGGGGGAGGGTGGGTGATCATAAAACCGCAAATATCAAACATTCATCCCTCTGGCGTCTGGCGTTTTGCGCTATAGGGGTTGAAAGTGCGCCATTGGCGATTACTTAGTACCTATTGATTTTACAAAAAAAATGTTTCAAATAAAAGATGTGCAACATTATTTGATCTACAATGTTTATCTAAAGATTTTTTTGATTAAGGGCCATCTGTGGTCATAAAGGCCGTTTGAAATTTTATAATGAAAATGAAAAATTTCAACCAACGTGAAAAAAATTTCTACAACTCATACAATATTTTTGCTTTATGAAGTTTTTACTCACCCCTTGCCGTTTTTCAATAGGGGTAATTTAAAGTTTATTTATTTTTTCACAAAAAAAAATTTCCTATAAAAGTTTTATAAGATTACATTTCCTACAATTTTTCCCAATCAACTTGTTTTGTAACTCGTCCCCATTCAGCGGGGGGACACTTCCCTCGGGGAAATTTTAGTTTTTAGGGGTATATATAAATTTTTTTTTTCTTTTCTCGCCTTTAGTGCATATAAAAAGTTGCAATTAACATTGTATTAAAAGGATGATTTTTTTTTCACCACCTTTTTGTTTTTAGGGGTAGTTCGCCTATTTTCAACTTTACAAAAAAAAATTATTGAGAAAACTTGTTCATTTTATTATTTTGAGCAACTTTTCTCTATAACTTTTTTTTGTAAAGTTGAAAATAGGCGAACTACCCCTAAAAACAAAAAAGTGGTGGAAAAAAATCCTTTTAATACAATGTTAATTACACCTTTTTATATGCACTAAAGGCGAGAAAAGAAAAAAAAAATAATATATACCCCTAAAAACTAAAATTTCCCTAAGGGAAGTGTCCCCCCGCTGAATGGGGGTGAGTTACAAAACAAGTTGATTGGGAAAAATTGTAGGAAATGTAATCTTATAAAACTTTTATAGGAAATTTTTTTTTGTGAAAAAATAAATAAACTTTAAATTACCCCTATTGAAAAACGGCAGGGGGTGAGTAAAAACTTCATAAAGCAAAAATTTTGTGTGTTGTAGAAAAATTTTTCACGTTGGTTAAAATTTTTTATTTCCATTATAAAATTTTAAACGGCCCTTATAACCACAGGCGGCCCTTAATCAAAAAAGTCTTTAGATAAACATTGTAGATCAAATAATGTGGCACATCTTTTATTTGAAACATTTTTTTGTAAAATCAATAGGTACCAAGTAATCGCCAATGGCGCACTTTTAACCCCTATAGCGCAAAACGCCAGAGGGGTGAATATTTGATATTTTCGATTTTATGATCACCCATCCGCCCCCTATCATCCCTGAAAAGTTCATTTGGATAGGAATTTTTTTTTTTGCAATACATGTATTTTCCGACTATTTTCCTAGACTATAATGTTTAGACGTTTGATGATGATTAGTAATGTTTTTATTCATAAAAAGAAAAAAATGGACTTCCATATAACTTTGTTTTTTGCATATATTTATTATACTACGTATATCGCGGGTTGGTTTGAGTTCTTGAAGCAAACATTATGAGATAGAACGATGCCTTCTTTGAGTTCTTTGTCTAAAGTGAACTTGTCTTTCCAATGCGCATGCGTCAATTTGAAGTTATTCCTCCAATAAGATTTCTTAAACAGCTGGATATTGCAGGGTTGCCAATAAAATTATTTTCATCTTCAAGTTATTTAAACATTCACAAGAAACATGACGAATTTTGTATTTTGGTGCGTATAACACATAGGTACTCGATTTCGACAAATAAATCAATATGTTCATTTTTATTAGTGTTTTGGAATCAAAACACAATCGACCAAATTATAACCTCAAAAAATTATCCTAATTCATTGTACTTTTTAGCTTGACATGAGAACACGGCACGAAAAGCTTGATGCAAAATGGCAACCGCCGGCCAATAAGAATCTAGAGTTTAACGCAAGCGCAGTTCATAACCTCGTTCTCCTTCGTTTGACAAAGATAGACTTATGCGAGATCATATAACTTTATCTCTCTTTGTTTGCTTCAAAAACCGCACATTGGGTAAATGGGGAAGGCGCGATATACGCAGTGCTGTCGAAGCTACCGAAATTTCGGTATTTCTACCGAAATGGCAACGGACCTACCGAAATACCGAATACTGATGAATTTTTACCGATTTTCAACAATAATTACGATTCTACCGATTTTTTTACCGTTTTTCACCAAAAAATTTGTTTTATCGTTTTCATTTTTCCGATTTTTCTATCGATAGCCGCACCCGATATACTATCGAATTTTTGGTCGGTGTGAGAACTGTCAGATGTCAAATAGATCCTCCGGCGACTTTGTTAGCAATGGTTGGGTTGGTATAATATCATATAGCTGGTATAATATGCATTTCTTTCGGGGAATACCCGTGTTTCCTGTGATATCCGAATTTGTTTTTAATATTTTGTCATTGCCCCATTCTTCCGCCAATGCCCAATGTTGAGCGCACATTCTCAGCAATAAATCGAATGAAAACAGCACAAAGAAATAGACTTTCCACGGAAACACGAAACACCAGTGATTGTTTTTTAGCTTTTACAGACTCAGCGACATTTTGGGTAAATAAAGAACCGATAATAGTCCAAATTTGACTATTGATTTGTTAGAATATTTCCCTTGGTCTCATGTATAAAAAATCCCATAAGAGGAATGCAATTATTGAAAACTTACAGCTGTAAGGTACCGATAATTTTGCCCGCAGGTCTAATTTCGGAAAATATTCCCCTAGCATTCATGCGTCAAAATTACCAGATACATTTGCGTTCAAGCGTGTTCAAAAAAACCCTCCACCTGTGGTGTCGGGCTCTTTCGCAGAAAATATGAAAATCAACACATGCAGTTTTTAGAAAACACTAAAACACGCTTTCGCTTTCATCCAAAATTATCGGTAATTTTGATTCACTTGTGCTATTACCCCCGATAATTTTTCAATGCCCTAGCTGACGTTACATACGTAACCTCACTTTCGACGGGGGGACAAAAAAAGCTTTTAAGGACTATTTACATAAATACGCAAATAAATGTAAATTTTCGTTTTTTTTTCCCATTGACATGTTTGTCCCCCTATCGAAAGTGACGTTATGTGATTTGTGACATAATAGCTAGCATCTAATTGATGTGAGTAGATAGTCCTTAAACGCTTCTTTTGTTCCTCCATCGAAAGTTAGGTTATGTGTGTAACGTCAGCTAGTGCCTGATGATTTTCCAATTTATAATGTAATATTTATTAAATCATGCAAAACACGGCAACGCTGGATTTTAGTCTATCTTATAAAATGTGTTTTTTTTTCAATATAAAAGTCAACGTGACATTATGTTGGCAATACAATGTAAAATTGTCAATGCTTTCAAATTTTTATGTAGAAAAGGCTTGTGTTGCCAACATAGTTACTAAATTTTTGACTTGGGGAATTATCTCTAAAAAAAAAACAGACTTTACCTACCGATTTTGCGCAGTAATCTACCGATTTTCAACGCCAGTTTCTCCCGATTTAGTATTTTGACGTTCGACAACACTGGATATACGTTTGTATAATAGGTATGGTTGGTTTTTTGATTTACGTCGCAATGTTTCGTTATCTGGTGGATCATCGATCGTATAAGGTATTAAGGGAATGACAATTATTGTTAAGAGCTAATAACACATCGTCTCACGCAAATTGATCTTCTGTTCACGAAGTATATCAGATAGACAGAACATCCCATTGATAAAATAGCTTTGTTTTGGTTGACTACCTACATGTTTATGGGCCAGGGGGGGTGAGCTGTGAAAGCGGCTAGGAGTAGGGATTCAAATGATTCCGCTAACTCCGCCCCCATTTTACTATCGCATACTTGGCAACTCTGAAAATGAAACCAGAATCAGTACTACAAAAGTGTATCTTTATCCTTATATTTTACATAATTTTAGAAAAAGA